AACAAACAAATGCAATAACAAGGTTAAGCAGTTCAAAATCACATCGACGTTATAAAATCCAATTTCACTGGAAATTTTATTTAATTTGCATTTCTTTAAGAGCTTAAGCATGTGTCAAATACGGAATATACTTTGAAAATTCAAATTCTGTTCCGTATCCAGCGAGAATTATGCAAATACTTTCAGAATCCGGTCCAGAGAAAGTTCTTTGTATACTAAGTTTAAAGTTTTGTGCATCTGGGAATAGTATCAAAAACAGTTTAACATAAAATCAATAAATAAGAAAATTAATCCATTGATTAAGAAAGTTTTTTTTGTTATAAATGGACTGTGTTTGTGAGTCATAATAAATTACACGTTTATTAAGTGGATTAATAACTATATCAATGTTGGTGTAAAAACTATAAAATAAGTATTAAAATGAGGCGAAATGGGAAAAGTTTTCTCATCGGATTGAGTGTTTTTTAATTGGGCGTAATCCAAGGTGTTCTGGTTTTGTTGCAGAAAATCAAATCAAGTCGCTTTAGGGGTCGAGACCCGCACTCCCAAAACACTATTTTGTCCCAGTTTACGAGACTAATAAAAAAAAACGAAGACCAGGGACTTTTGCACGAGAATTAAACAAGTTCGACGTCTCGAGTTACGTCCACGATTTGTTTCCTTCGCTTCACTTTGCCTGATGACCATATGGGATGCGTCTCTCTTTGGTGGCGCCTGTCTCACATAAATATTTTTCCAAATAAACATTTGTTTCGTGATGGCCTAATGGCAACATGTGTTTGTTTGTTTCTTTGGGAACGGTTTGAGGGAAGAGGACCACCGACCGCGGCTCTATGAATCGCTTATTATTTGCATAGCGTTATGTAATTTTTGCTGGTATTTGTTTATGAGTATCAAATATCAAATAAACATTTGTTGTAATTATTAAGTCTAGAAGACAGAGAGAAGGATGAAGTAAAGTCTGAGTTGTTTATTTGTGCAGCGGAGGGATTTGAGAGGTATTAAAAGTGGAAGGGAATTTAGGTGTAGCGGAATCGAGACCACATCACGTTTGTTTTGTTTTGGCCTGCTCGGTAAAGTCTGGTAACTGCGAGGACTCGCTTCGCTGGGAAATGAATTATACAATAATGGGATGGAGGAGTCGTGATATAGGTAAGCAATTTGGCTTGAAGCAGGGAGATTAGTATCTGGAGCAGCGCTCGAAACAATATCGGGAGTTAATCCGGAATATCGGGGACGTATATACACGTTTAATAGAATGAATGAGATCGCAGTGGGCTATAATAAATCAAAAGCTCCGAACAGAAAATTGGGCTAATTGAAATTTCCCTAATGGCGTTTCTCTGTAAACAATCGGGGGTTGTATTCTATCGGGAGTCATCCGTCACTTATAGAAATCCCGGAACATGGAGGAGGCGGCACGGACATTTATAAATCTGTGTCCCGCGTCCTGTGGGAAGAACACAGGGAAAAAAGAATAACATGTGTGGGTGACGGTCTCTTTCTCTTCCATCCGCATCCAACCAGACACACCAGAGAGACTCTATATACATACAACAACAGCAACAACAACCAAGCGAAGCGACCAAAAAAAAAATTCTATATATCTGGAATATACACGTACACACTTATCCTCTCTTCTCTCGAATCTCTGTGTTCTGCCGTCATTGTTTGCTCGCCTGCTGCCTCCACCGGAGGATATTCAGATTTATTTACACTAATTGACATTGATATATTTGTATTTGCATTGTAACGTGCGGTGGTCGTTTTTGACCATTCATAAAAACAAAAACGATATGTGCATATACATATATAAAAAACGCAAATCCGAATTCCGTGTTAACTGCCGCAACAATGTTTTAGGTGGCCCCGTTTATTTTGTTGCTGCTGTCCGTCTGTCCGCGTTTTTGTTGTGTTTTTGTTTTTTTTTTCTGTTGTTTTGTCGGGGCCATCTATCATTTGAACGTGTGCAGCAATTGTTTTTAATTAACAAATCCAAGCTCCGGCGGCCAAGGGTAATTCATTACCAATGGCAGGATGGGATTAAAAATAGTTTTACGACTTTCCCAAGCTCCGCGATAAAGTCCAAGATAAAACCATAAGGCCATTAATTACTGTCTCCCAGCGATTTCCTAATATTACGCCGTTTTCTTAATACATTACTAGATAAATATCACAATATCAACAGTAGCAATTAATCTTTAAATATCATTTCGCTTTCAGTCGCTCTTTATTCAACTTTTACGCTTTAATCTATTTCATAAGTTAACGCTTCATTAAGATTTCTCTATACTTTAGTATATTAGTTTTACAACAACATTTACACCAACGTTTTTTTTCTTTGATAATGCTTCAGTCAAATTTGCGAAGTAATTACATTATTAAGACAAAATAATTATTTATCAATATTTCTTATTATAATAAATTATGTAATATTAGAAGAAACTTTCGCAATATTAAACTTAATAATATAACAAAAGAACATATTATGCATAATTTTCCGGGCGTATTGAAATGTATAGAAAAACTTTAACAATGGATCGAATGTTTATGTTATGACAGGTAGAGGTACTCAAAAACTGATTTCCATTATAAGAAAATATGTCTTTCGTTCTTTCCTCTTAGAATTACCACAAATTATGAAACTGAAGAGCAAGAATGAAAAGTTCCTCGGGGGTCTGGGATTTTGAAGGCAGACAAGAGGAGGATGGGCGTTCCCTGGTTACCTGAGACCATATACATAATATGTTTCAAATTATAGACCGAGGAATATATATTCAATTCTCGAAAAACCGAAAAACATCTTTCCTTAACCTTGAAAAAGATTCTTAAGGTCGTAAATACGATTCACCATGCGCTATAAAAAAAAATAGTAATACTCAATATAAATAATTATTATTTTAAGCTGCAGAAGCTTTAGTATTTTCTTTTGTATAGAAATTCTTCATATTTTCTAGATTATAAGAATTTATTAATTTATTCCAAAAATTTCTTGAGAACATTTTCAGTTTCATATTATTAATATTAAACTACAAAGATTTTAGTTACAGGCAACAACTACAAGTAAATTATATAAACTACAAGGCTTTTCAAATATATAATGATTTTCAAACAAGTAAGTTGGTATAAAAATAAATGTAATTCGTTTTAAGTGGATGATATTGTGATGGTTGAATGAAAGTCAGAAGCGTATAAATCTAAACAACCACAAAACGTTAATTTGTTCCAAAATCCGATTACATGGGAGCAGGAATCGATGGGTCGTCTCACGGAACTCTTCAAATATTTACGTTCGGTTTTAACAAAACCGAAATGGGGAAACAAAAAAAAATACGTTGAGGAGTGGAGAGAAAAGAACGAAGAGACAGGAGGGGTTAAAAAAGGTAATTCAATTCGTGCATCGTCGAAGTGAAACCCATGCTTCGTTCCCACTGTACATAATTCATGCACAATAATATTAAAAGGCACGTTATGTCCGTGGATCTATCTTCACGACGCTCCGATCCATAAATTTGATGTTGGGCTATTAGTTGTGTCGTCGCAGCCGCATCTCTCATACACACGAAAATGAAAGGGAACAACCAAAAAAAAAAGAGAAATAGAAGGAGGAAGAAAAAATTGGCACGATCCGTCTTCCCTCTGACGCTTTCGTATCAACATAAATTATATGTTCTTATAATAAATGCTCTTTCTTCTTATGATTAATGCCTGATTCTTACTATTGTTTTATTATTTATTACTCATTACTTTAGTTTGATGAGAAGAAAACAAATCACTACGTTAATTATCGTAATTATTTACATTGTACATACATTTTGATATAGGTAAAATTATACAGATTAATATAATTTTATATATTCAACTTTAAGAAACAAGAAACTGTTTAAAATAATATATTCTTAAATTATTTATACTGTGATTAATTTTTTATTACTTTATTGTTAATAAATTCAATGTTCATAGTTTATATGTTCTGTATTAGTTTATTACCAATTAACATAAATCATATGTTTTTATTATAATTACTCATTCTTCTCATTCTAATTGTATGACTTTCATATTATTTTATTATTTATTACTCATTACTTTAGCTTAATGATGAACATACAATAACATAAATCATATTTACTATGTTTCTTGTTACAATTACATATATGTTACCTTTTTATAGATGAAATAACTTATTATATAGTCAAATTTGAAAATAAAATAGATTACTTTACTTGTTAATATTATTTTAATTCTATTAACCACAAACTTTTTAAAACTAAGATATGATTTACTATATAGTCTAATGAAAGTCATAACTTAACAGGTGCTTTGAGATTTTTAATTATAGAGAAATTCATGCGAAATTCGCCTGTAACTATTTAGGTTTCACAATGGGGAACCCCAACCATCTCTTCTACTCTTTACAAGGACCTCCCCGCAGTTCGGTTATATATTATTAGTGGAAAAAGGCGACAAACTCTCCCCCTTAAACCGGCATCACTGAAAGAAAGAAAGAAGGCAAAAGGAGAGGGCCGGGCGCGCCAATTTTGCGACTCTCTTTGTGCTTCCGACCCGCAAAAGAAACGCGAAAGATTTCAACTTTTGTCCCGAAGTCGAGGCAATCTCGAAAAAATTAATTAGAACTTCTCTCTTCATTATGCTCGCACATAATTAGAAAAGTTTAATTTCATTTATACGTCGGCAATTAAGAAATTACCTCCATTGCAAATCCACGGGGAAGCGTGAACGCTTTTTGAGATTACTTAATGTTGGATTCGATGTGGTTTAATCTTGGATGAAATAAGATTATGAAAATTTAAAAAAAAACTGTGTACAAGTTTATATATAAATAAAATTGTGATGCGGCCACTCTTCTGCCTTTTGTACTCTGCCTACAAAAGAGGCCGCAAGAGCTTTTGACATTTATATTTGATTTTGCGTAGGCGGCGCGGCATTTCATTGCATCGTTCCTCTCCTCCTTAATCCATATTTCATAATATGATACCAACCTTGATTAGAGCATACGATGCCGAGGAAAAATGCCAATAACACTGTGACTGACAGACATGGGCCGGCAGGAGATGATGCCATGGTTACCAAGGGTTGTTGGGGTTAGGGCTCGGCTTGACACTCCGGGAACGCAGCACTAGGGGGTGGCACAACACTCGCACTACTGTCACATCACATTTCACACTCTTCCATTAGTTTATTATCTGTAACAAATAAAAACAGAACAATGTTATTAAATCGCTCCAGCTGTTTTTTTCTATCTTCTTCTTCTCTCAACATCCACCCTTAAAAACGTCGCAGTTTGGGGTGACAGAAATATAGGCTTAAAAATAGAAAGTCTCGTTTTGTGTACATGCTTCAATCCATATAACACCAGTTGTATTTTCAAAACGCTCGCAACAATTAAATAAATGTAAATATACCTTGTGATTGCTCTGATAATAAATAACGCAAATATTTGAATAGTTCCGAGTGAAATGCTGTCTGTATGCACACGCGACTCGCTGAGCAAGACTAAAGCTTGAAGCACGTTACGCAACGCTCGCCTAGCAGGACAATACTGAAAGCACGACTTAAGCTACTTCTGAAAAAGCGTGCGTTCGGCTCTACGGCGCAGAATCTTCCAAACCTATCAGCATTTCCATTTCAACTTTGACTCAATAACGAGATTCTATTTTTGGACCTCCTTCGGATCATCATCATCACGAGACTTTCCCTTCAGACAACTTGTTTTTTTTTTCTTGACATATTATAGTAGCATATTGTATCATTTTATATTTAAAAAAAAATCATAGGATGATTAACATTGGATAATTAAAAAATAAATAAACAATCATTCTTATATTAATATTTTTTTTCTTGTTATATATATTATCACGATTCTATATTTGAAAACATGTATTATAATCTGAATCATCTCTAAAGCAGATGATTGACATTTGATAATTCTTAATAAAAAATAAACAAACATAATTACACGTGCAAGACATTCAATTACATAATAAACGTTTCATATTAATAGTTTGTTTAGAATGTATATGTTAATACTTTTTATAGTATTCTTTAATTTGATGCATGTGTCTTTATTATTTACATATTTACTATAAAAAAATAATATTTACTTAATACTAATGAATTTTAAAATATATCGTTTCATTAAATAAAAATAATTATAATCTAAGACATTAATGAAACAAATCACAAAGAATTATTGTTATTTAAAATAATAGATTTTTTAATGATATTGTATAATAATTCATAATAATATACATATAAAATTTTGATTTAAAACGGAATGATAATAAAAAAAAATAAATAGAAATCGCTTGATAAATTGATTCTGTTATAATTCGAAACTTTGAAAAGGTTTTAAATGTATACCTACAAATTAAGTTGTCTGTAATTGGTCTGTGACTTCTAATGACCAAATGTAAATAATTACTGGACAAGGATAATTAGCAGAAACGATAATAATTTAAATAATTAATGACGACGTTTCGGAATGCTGGGAGCGAGATTTAGTGCGGATGAATTATGGCCGTAATTAAAGTCTTCAGAGTAAATCAGTAGGTTTGGCGGTAGTGATAAGAATTATTAGCGTTATCAGTTTAAAATTGATTGGTCCACAAAATAATTATCGGTCCTACACGACGTGTGCGTGTATATGTGTGTGATTACACGTATGTATATATGTGAGCGTGAGTTGGTCGAATGTACGCACACCGTAGCATATAACATAACATAGCATAACATAGCAGCCATCCAGCCGCCCACGCAGACTGGACTGGCCTGAACCAGACACAAATTTATAATATTGAATCAACTAAGGGAAAATACTCATTGTACTCCCACCAGGCCGAAAGCCGCAGACTGAACTTTATCATGTTCAATTGTAATGTCTTCAATGCGATTTGCATACTTCATATTTATAACATATCATTAGCAGCGGATCTCATTTTTATATTGTTTTGTAATCTGCATTTTGTTTCATCTCCGTACTATATAATAAGTCTATATAGTATATTCACATCCCCGGGGCCCATTGTATCAATAACACGAAATTGATTTAGTTGTGAGCCGTACTATCACCATATACGGACACCAATTAATATTAATTGTCTCATAAACAATGGGTGAAATCGATGCTCGTGTTTTTTTTCCTTCTCTTTTACCTGTCGTTCTCTTTCTTTCAATATGTTACACTTGATTCATTAATTATTTATTTGTAATTAAGATATCGTCGAAACGGAAGATTAAATATGCACTTCGCTGTTCGTCATTCTTTATTTACAATCCAATTCCTATGAAATCCATTATCGTGCCAACCCATTTCAATCCACATCATAATGTTGATATTAATTAATGCGGCCGCAAACAATAAGCCGTACGATTAATTATGAATACCGTCCTAAATCGGAATAGCTTTGATAAAACAATGGAACTTTGTTGGATCGTCCGAGCATCTTGCACGAAGAACGTTTAGGTGGAAAAAGTCTATGGTCGACATTAAAACGCACTTAACCGTGCAATGCACTAAAAGGTCTGCTGGACGCAAATAAATTACTTTCCTTTCTTCTCCTCCACCAAGTCTTTTTTTTATATATATATATATACACGTTTCTTCTTTATCGAAGTCTGAGAGGGGGAGAATTTGTCTTATTTGCAGCCATGGAAATACCTTCCACCCATCCCTCTTAAAATGACCACCGAAATGACCCAAATTAATATATTTAGAGCGCGATTACGAGACACGACAAATATTAAATTCTTCCATTTCCATTCCTATTTCCGTGCGACGATGCAGTGTTAAACTTGAATTTCACGGTCATTAAATCTTTTAATTATGTTCACGGGAATATATAAAAGAGAGCACTTCATAAGCGAGTTCTAATTATAAAAAGCCTCCTACTTCTCCACCTCTGCTCCTCTCATCTTCCACTCGCTTATCGTGCAGAATTGAACCTTTTTTCCTTCCTCTCTCCTACCTTCGGAATGCTATTACACAAAGCTATGATATAAAACGAAGCTCAACTTGTTTTCATTTTAATACTTAATAGAATTCAGAAATGCTAATTCGACGATCTTTTAATATATTTATTTTAATGGAAGATCGGTAAAATACAGACATCATTAAAACGATTGATCGAAATATTTTCACATGCCAAAGTGATTTCAACAAGATGAATTTAAAAAAAATGTAAATTAATCATTTTTTGCTTTTCTAAAAGCAATCGAATTTGAAAAGTTTATTCATTTTATGTATTTCATATAATAATAATAATTTTTCAATTGTATTATCTGTAATAAAATGAAAAAAAATACTAGTGTGAAATTTATGAAATGAAATTACAAACTAATAACATGGAAAATATAATTAAGCAAGTATATTTATTTTATAAATATTAATTATAGTCGTTTTAAGGAATTTTAATTAAAGGAATGTTATATTACTTGTTTCTAATTAAACATAGATGCGATAGAAGTTAAAGTTGTTGATTTTTTTTCAAATATACAAAAATTGTTTATTTATTACAAATGGTCTATGGATTTATATTACATTGGATACGAGATGATCAAATTTCATAAACTATAAGTCTTTTATTTTTATCGGCAGATATACAAAATAAAAATGTATGGATAATAAAATAGGAGACATATGTAACAGAAATCAGTCAATTTTTACATGCATTTGTCATTCTGTCCGTGTCCAGAGTGAAATTGGAAATTCTGTTATTAAAAGTAAATCCAATGTGTATATGCCGCTTTTTTTTATTCATTTTGGGATGTTATATGTGTCCATACGTATATGTACAACGTTAAATAATAAATTACGTGCAGGTTTCATATGGACGTTTTTCGAACGGGTTACTGCAGATCCGCCAAGTCCATTATTGATGGGTTAGAACAGAACATAACTTCCTGATCGATTCCATAAGGATCGCGAGAACAATAGATAAAATAGGGAGGTTAAAATGAACTAAGAAAGAAAGGAATCGGGGGGGAAATATGAAAGGCAGAAATCATTTGTCGAGTATAATCATTACTTTTCTTGCACCAATGTTGCATTACAACATTAGGTATTGTGCACGGTTGAGTGTGACTAATGTATTTATTTGTTGCAAACTATATTCGAGCTGTTGGAACGCGTCGTTGATCCTGGTTTCCATCGGCATGCAAGATTTCTCACCCCTCTGTGAAAGGTGAAAAGCGTGCAAAAGGGCGTGAAAATTATTTATTTTGGAGCGTGTATTTCCAACGGCAGTCCAACTCTAGTTAAGACTATAAAAGCAGATGTATAAAAATATTTTGTAGCAGTGATAGCACTAAAAGATAGTTACATTTACAATCCATTCTGAAGATTTTCTTTTTTTTTTGTGTATCGTTTATATTTTTTCTACTGAAACTTATACAATAAATGTAGAATGCATACTAATTATCAAACACTAATTAAAATTTAAAGAAAATATACAGTTGTAACAGTTACACCAAAAGATAATTACGAAACGCTAATTATTTTATTGATTTTTTTAATTATTAATAATTTCGAAAAACAATTAAAACGTTATCATAATGTTACTTTCATGGTTCAAATTAAAACTTTAATAGGAATTTAAGTAGACGTGTAATTAATTGTACAATGGTCATAAACAACGGAATATTAAAAGTTAAAAAAAGACAATTGCAAAGCGAAAAGGTAATTACAACAGATGTTGATGGTTAAGAAAAAAAAACGCTTATATAATTATACCGCAAAACAAAGTTACTTAGAATTATTACCAAATTTGTAGATTCACATATCATTTCCATTTTCTTTGCAAACCACAATTTATGATATATGTTATCAGCTATGATGTATTTAGAAATGATGCAAATTTGCTGTCACAGTTTCAGTGTTTGCGTTTCGCAGGTAACCGAATGTTACCTGAGTCAGGTATATTTCAAGTTCTGTGTAAGTTGGTCATCTTTATTAGTTATGTCCTACGCCCTCAAGATTTAGTATGTCGACAGTCTACATTAATCATTCACATATTGCAGATAAATACAATGTATTTTGATGTAACAAAGGAATGTATTTACATAAATTATAGCAATTTTAAAGCAAAGTTTAATTAATAAATATTTGACATCACATCAGAATTAAAAAGATTTACTATAGTGAGAAATCTTATTAACAAACTCTTTCTCAAAATGAGAATTCTTAAAG